ATTAACCAATTTATAATGCGCATGAATGGTGCCAGACTAATTTGGAATCATGCCACTGGACCCCATTAATCGCTCCCAAAGATAAAAATAAATCGGTAGAAAATCCACAGCCCATGAATCGACAAGTAACAAGGAAAAGGACATATAAGAAACAGGAAATTCAGAAGCAGGCTAAAGTGCAGTCGGTACCTTGGTAATCAAAAGTAATAGAGTATTTTACTATACCTGTCGTTTATCCGCTAATTGGGCAATCAACTTTTCATCTGTACCGTTCAGCGAAAGCATCAGCAGATGACCGGACACATTGATTATTAAAGTATCGGCAAAAGTGGACATCTGATTAGTATCTATAAAACAAAATCAGACGTAACTATGATCGTCTGACATAAAATGTGCTTGAACCATCATCATCAACTCTTTAGACAAGAATTCTACCCGTCAATCAATTTCTGTGAAACCAAATCTTTCGGGTCAGGGAGGCAGAAGCGACAGGCAGTGTCGTCAACGTTCTCGATCCTGTGCCAGAGTTTGAACTTCAGCAAAATAACCTGAACCTCTGGAAGACTTTTTCGATACACCAGACATGGGTTATTCTTGGCTGTCCTCTGGGTCATCAGCCGGTCAGCTCGGCAAGCAAACGTTGCTTCGCCTTTCTTTCTGGAAGCATTTGCAACATTTACCAAATCATCGCAGCTCTGACTTCTTCATTCAAGAAGTATCGACTGTACACGAAGGCTCTAGCGGAATTCTATTATCCAGACCATGCCGGGACACATAAGACCAGCGACTCATCTCAAAATACTCATTTCAGTCGCTTGTACCTTGTACGAAGCTTCTTCATCATGATCCATGACCATGACCTAAGTAAGCACGGAATGAAGATCGACTTGAACACCAAGAGCTTAGTTTTCAAACTTAGCTCTGGTTTAGCCACAACATTTGGGGCCACTTTACACAGAACGCCAATGGCTACTGCAATCCGCCGGTCGATCTCTTCCTTCCATTTTCTATTACAAGTAAGCATATGACGGTCTGAACAGGTCGCAGCATACACTGATGAACTGAAAATCGAATGGCAACTCTTTAATAGCGGCTTATACGAAATTTCCGTCGAATGCTGTGGTTGAAAGCAGGTTGACCAGCCGACTGGAGGTCAGAACGAACTTCCCAATGGACAAGAGAGGTTCAACTGGTGATCTGTGCAAAGAGGGTTACATTAAAGAAGTAGTTTCGAAGGAAAGAGCCTTCAACTCGAATGCAGTACGAGATCATCTGTAGCCGGGTTATATTTTCCAAGGAATAACTGCAGCCGCGGTCTGCAAACGTTTCTGATCTTTGCAAAAAAGAAGAAAACACCCTTCGTGTATACTTTGGGATTAGACTATTCATGGAGCCATGCTTGAAGCTGACAAAGGATATGCATCACTAAGGCTGTGTGAAAGGAATCGTAAGGTATAGAAGAGGAATGTAACATCCAGACTCTATGAATGGAGTAAAAAAGCTTTTTCTTGGCGTTAGTATATATCCCTACATCTGATGGGATTCACCTGAAAACGTCGTTGCTTTGTATCGAATGGGAGGATTATTCGCGGAGGCAGGGATTTTCAGTGGCAATACAAAATCTATGGACGTAATTGCCACACGAAGTTGATCAAGAAGAAAAACATTTCAGATAAATATGGGATGAAGGGCAGTACAACGGAATCGAAATAAAATGTCATTACAAACTGTTCCGTTTTGGCTAACACCGAGTACCTCCAACGGCACAGTAGCAAAGCAAAGATAAATGATTTGCACTTGAAACAGGTTTCAACTCAGCAATGACGTCGCGTTATCGAACCATTCAGAGAAAACGTTTGAGAACGACCAGTGTACCACCGATTTCGACCGTCCTATCGTCAATGACCTTGCCAATGATGCTATCGTATAAATATTAACCATATCAATATTAATCCTGGAAAATCAAGAACATGACAGCTGAAATAACTGATGCTGATGGAAGAAAAAGTGCAAAAAATCATGGGTGAAAAAATAAGAAATATCAAAACATGACCATCGATCTGAAACAGACATGCAGCTGCAAGCCTCTACCAGCAACAACAAGATGTCATCTCGCCAAATGTCGTCATTCCAAAATCAACGAGAACTAGCTTGAACCACCTGAAGCTCATAGGAGGGCTATCGCAAAATTTCCAGAAAGGTGCTGCTCTGAATATATGCAGAGTAGCGTGAAAGATTATGAAATACTGTAGCATATTGCAGACAGTTGCTTCTGCCCACTTCCTTGTTGCTTGAAAATATCCTCTGTATGACAGAATATGAAATAAAAGAATTTTACTGAATAATCATATAACATATTTGGAAAATAATATTTTATGTACTGCTCAGACCATATTTTATTACAAGCAAAAAATGATCCAAAACGCTCAACATGAACTGCACAAAGGATCAATATCTTACCGCATTCCGTCACTCTCGAAAGAGGAAAAACGGCCACTACACAAAATGGATGTAAAATATGCTCCCTCAATGACACCTGAGTGCATAGCGTAACAGCGGGCATCGCACCTAAATAGAAATATTATAACGATATTCAGCTGATCACAATGATATTACCATAAATGAACGACACACGACTTTCGCCACATATACAGTAAAGTAAAGCAAAACGCTGATCAGATATGTTCAGTTCGTACAGCAAGCTGACAAAGCAAATTACGTAATTATGCATAAGACAGCAGAGAATGATGAAAGAGAGAAGAGCCGCCTAGTAGAACTTCTAAAAAACACATCTAGTATATATTCTGCAGTATTTGCATGAAAAGACTGCATGAACTCATTACTATGTTCGTATAGAACTTTTTGGTTCCAGTTCCAGTTTGGCTGCAGTTCCAAAATATCTGGGATATGATCTCCCGCATTAAACAACAAATTTTATCCCAAGGAGAGAGGCCTAAATCAAAATACAAAGGGGGTTCACAATATGATGAACGTTCGCGTATGCAGGCCTCGATGGCTTATCGCCATTAAATAATGTATATGATCATAATCCCCCAACTTGTTCATCCCACAGAAGGCCTAGTCGAAAAACCATGAAGGTTACTATTAAAGGGAGAGACAGAACTCGTCAAGACTTCCCTAAGTCGTAGTTCGATTATTCATCCATGCATTCATTATTTTTTCATAATACTTGCGCTCCATCAGCCCTTTTGAATAGTCTACATATTCAAGACCTGGAGCTTCAGAAGCGACCAAGCCAAAAAACAACTAAGTTTGGTGGCATGCAATGGATGGACATTAAAAAAAGATAAAAATTATATGTTAATAGGATTTTACCGTTTCGCTTATGGTCTTCGACGTCTGACAACGTGAACAAGCAACACTTGGCGTCAAGATCAAAGGTAATCAGGATGTCGCAGCAGATGTTCAGCAAAAGAATCGGCACGTCGACGTGGACACGGGTACAAAAGCTGTTGCCCAAGCTATGCTGCTGTGAGTACATGCGGATCTAAACCAACGCAGCTGTGTTTAGAAGATGAAGAGAGAAACGAATAAAGCTGTAAGAATTCGCACCTGATCGCATTCGTTCTCTATGTCGTAGCAGGCCGCTGTAACGTATTCCCGCCAACAGCACAATCCGCCGG